TACCTAAAATGTATCAATAAACTAAAAATTAATAAATAAATAAAAACAGATGAATGGATAAAGGCTGTATTTACACACAATGGACGACTACCTTGCCATAAAGAAAGTTTACCATTTTCTAATGTTAGAAATGTACATTTAAAATATGTGACAGATTTAAAAATATTCATAAATTATAATTAGGAAGCAATATCCCTTTAATAATTACAGTCAAAATGGAATATTCTGAGCTAAATATATAGAACAAAAATTAGGTTCAAGGTTCAAGAAAATTCTGAGCTAAATATATAGAACAAAAATTAGGTTCAAGAAATGCTACATTTGTGAAGAAACATTTGTGAATATTTTTAATTGTTTCATACTTATTTACATGCATAATTTGTATATGTGTGTATTTTATGAATTAGGCTCCTTGTTATTATGAAATATAAGGAACAATAAGTTCCATGTGTTATGTGCACAAGACAGTTGAAATGGAGGTAAGTAGAAATCATGAATAGGTTTGTATAAGACACCTTCCCTCTGTTGTCAGAGAATCAGCCGTTGTGAGTTCCTGACTTCTACACAGTTGGTTTTCAGAATATCTCACCTGGGAACAGAATAATAGAAACATTTTTGGTCTAATGAGGAGCTTGGGATATTGATCTCTGGGGGATAGAGACACTGTAAGTGTTGGCCAGTGAGTATCTTACCCTTAATCACTGCCCGGTCAGGTAGAAACAGCTGCCCTGTTTCCTGAAGATGAGCCTGTTTGCTCCAAGCCCACTAAGTCTGTGAGTCTTCCTCTCTTGACTCAGGTCTTCTATTTTGCACATTCAGGTGAGATGCTGAGCATGATTCTCAGTGAACTCAATCAGGTAAACTAAAGCCTCTTAGTATATTATTTGGGAGGTGTTTCACCACAATTTCATCCAGGGGAAGCCATCATAAAAATACATGCATAAGATGATGAGAAGCAGATGCCCCATGAGCCCCCTTGATTTTCACATTCTTGACACATTGTCATTTACATTTTCACCATTATTCACCCAGTTCTCACTCAGCAAGATGCCTGCTCTCTCTTCACAGCAGCAGGGACTGTTTTCCTCCTGAATAGAAATCTATTCCATCTCAAATTATGAGTTTCATAAAATATTCTCATATTTATTTGAATTATTTTGGTGACGCTGGGAGTGTATTAATCAGCCTGTTATTTTCATAAAGGTGTTCTAACAAATTAGCAGACTGGGTAGAATAAGAACAGAAATTTATTTATTTTGTCACTGTTCTGGAGGCCAAAGTTTAAACATTTAGTATATAAAGAGAGCTGGCTTTTCCTGAGGTCTCGCTCCCTGTTGCTCAGTATAGTCTGGTGCTCTTCCTTCTGTGGGTGTCTGAGTCCTAATTTTCTCTTCATAAAAGAAACCCAATCATGTTGGATTGGAATTCACCCTAATGATCACATTCTTAAATAAATAACTTGTCTTCTTGCAAGGGAGTTTTGCCTTTATTTCTGTAACTAATAATGTTAGCATTTATATAACCAAGACAGTTAATAATGCCTAATATCCAGATTTAATTTTTATTTTAATTTTATTAGTACATATTTTCAATACATAATGATTACATCCATCTTGATGTGTTGGTACATGTACAAAATTCTCCAAAAATTGATCTCCATATGCAGGCATATTCTACTATTTTGGAATTTGTGGCATATGAATTTTGAAGAAGACAGATTTCACCCCATTATCATCTATTCCTATCTACTCCCATATGCTGGTTGTAGCTTTAATATGTAGAGATTTCCATTTCAATCCTGAAAGGTGGATGTGAAGACTCTGGAGAGGAGATAGAGATGCAGAGAGGATCACTCAGTAGCTTTCTATTTCCAAAGATTTACTTATTAAAATTACCAAATACTTTAAACAGGAGCAGCAAAGATAGTGTCATTAAAAACACTGACAACACCAATGAGAGTAACAACAACTTGACTATATGTCACCACTCTCCAAAACTAAGACTGTGGACCTTTTGTCATATCTATTTCAGGAGTTTTTTGCAAGTGCAATAATGAAATAAGGATCATACAGAATTTATCTCCTCACTATGCCCTTTTGTATTCTTCTTTGTCCTTCCCAAAGACATTCCATAAATATGGTGGTATTTCTATATATGACTCTACATTTTGTGTTTGTCCTAAATATAAAGCAGTAGCCATAGCACCCAATGAATAAGGAAAGCAAAACAAATTGTTTTGTGACAATATAGGGGAACACCATGATAGTTAAGATTTGTGAAGGAGGATAAAATATATCAAGATTAATTTAGTAAATAATGCCAAGTATCAATGGCATATAAAGATGCATATATATGCATAATAGCATATACATATGCACACATATATAGTCATATTTATATTATGTTTATGTGTATAGAAACATTTAAAAGATAATATATTTTATGTATTTAAAAAATAACAAACATAATAAAAATTGTTAGATAATAATGTGTATCATGGTAGAGTGGTAATTTCCCTTGAGAAAGAATAAAATTAAAATCATATAATTAAACAAAGTGAAGGGCCTTAAAATAGCCTTTATTACTTTTCACAGTAAAAAATACTTAAATGTGAATAGGTAAAGTATGTGAATTACTTCTGGTCTGGAGTCAGTCCTGCATTATTATCAGATCCTCTATTATGCATAGATAACCTGCAGCAAAAATGTATACATATGAAAGTCCAAAATACTTAAAATTTCCTCAGGATGTGGACTATAGGTATTCATAATTCTTGTGATTCATGCTTTTAATTAATCTATTTTAATACATTTCCTTTGCTATTTATTTTAAATGTCCAGGCCAAATAAGTATTGATATCATCGATGTTTATTCCTTTCCTTAATTTTCTGCATAACCAAAATTCCCAGAGGTACAGAACCTCTTCTCTATAATTTAAATTCATCAAGCTATGGATGTTCCTTTTTTTTCCTTTTGACTGAACTGCCACAACTTATTACTTATTGGTACATTTTAGAATCACTTCTTTCTTTGGGATGAAACCTGTGTTCTTTTTTATGGATGACACATCCACACATTATCTGTCTGTTCTGTCTCCGCCCCCCTACACACACAATAGGCAACGTCACAACATGGAATACACATTTCCAACCAGGTAGTAACTTCGTTTTTTCTGTTTATCTCATATCATTTCAAACATAATGATGAGCTTTGCTTCCCCTACATTTAATGAGGTATAATTTCACAAATAAAAGTTGAGAATATTTGAGTTATACAATGTGACAGAGAAGCATAAAATGTCAAATGGTTACCACATAGCTGATAATTAGCACTTCCATTATCCAGTGAGGACATCCAGGCTTTTCTTCTAGTTGAAGATTGCTTCCATTCATAAAGCTGATACAAGCACCTGTATCTTTGGAGAATGTAAGTTTAATGTGACACCAGATATCACAGCTGCTTTTTTTCCATGAGGGGAAGATCATTGCTTTCCAGTTACACTCTTGTTAGAACACTTCTGGTGATCTCAGCCTGTTATTTTACAAGTGTCTGTCTTCTAAAGACTGACAATTTTTTCATCTATATTTTTGGATAAGTGTCTGTATTGCATTCTTTCTTGTACTTAGTTATTTGTTTATTTTATTTAATGATAGGGTACCTACCTCAGGAAGGGACGAATTTCCCTTAGGATGTGGCAGCACGTGTCATCCACATTGTGATCCAGATTCTTTTAGAGTTAATTGCTTAATCACATTGTTTTAGCTTCTATTTCCAAGGCAGAGTCTTATGGGGTTCAAGTTTATAGTCAATGGTTTCTATTATTTCTCATGTCCCACTGTATGAATGCAATCTACCAGACTGAATGAATGGGGAGAAGAGGGCTCACCTCAAAATCAAGGTAAAAGTAGAAACTATACTCAGAGAGAAATTTTTAGGGGTAATTCCAAGGCCTTCCTGATCATGTAATGATGCTGGTTCTGTACTCTTTAGAGACCTTAGCAGTAAGTCTTCAAGAAAGTCAACTTATCTGTCAGCCAATCTGAACATGTTTATGATGTGTCCTCCTAGGTGCATGGGAATGAAACATTAACTATTTAATCTGTAATTTTGAGAAGCCCTTCATCTGAGGTGTTAAAAATTTGGAGATCATTATTGTAGAAGGCAGATATTTAAACTCATCCGTACCTTTCTTTTAGTGTGAAATAATTACAATGGAACATGCATGACTTATTTTTGTTAAGATTTCAGCATCTGGCACAATATGTGAGAAATTATTGGTGTTTAAAAAGGGAGTAAAATATAGAGTACATGTAGAGAAGATGAATGCAGAGAGAGAATATTTGAGAAAATATTTGCATATTCATGCGGTTCAAAAATAAATAGGATTTTTTTTTCTTTTTTTCAGAGCTCTGCTTCTCAAATTTTAGACATATCAAATTCAGCTGGAACATTTGTTCAAACCTACTTTGCTGGTCCTCATCCCCAGAGTTTATCAACAGTAAAGGAAAAATGGTGCCAAGATTTTTTAGACCTTCCCTGTTCCCATGTGATGTTCTTGCTTCTTTTCATGTTTTTGTCACATCTTTTCTGCAAGGTTTATGAGCAGCATGGAGCTTACAAATCAAACACTTGTTTCAGAATTCTTTCTTGTGGGACTGACAGATGATACTTCTTTCTCTCCAGCCTGTCCTTCACTGACATCTGTATAAGCACGACCACCATCCCAAAGATGCTGGTGAACATCCAAGCACAAGATCAGAGCATCACCTACACAGGCTGCCTCTCCCAGGTTAGTTTCGTGTTGATTTTTGGTGGCCTGGAAAATTGCCTCCTCGCAGTGATGGCCTATGACCGCTATGTGGCCATTTGCCACCCACTGAGATACACAGTCATTATGCATGCTCGACGCTGTGTCCTGCTGGTTCTACTCTCCCTGCTCGTTACTACTGTGAATGCCCTGCCTCACAGTCTGATGATTCTGCGTCTGTCCCTCTGCACAGACCTGGAAATCCCTCACTTCTTCTGTGAACTTGCTCAGGTCATCAAGCTCTCTTGTTCTGAAACACGCATCAATTACCTGTTAATGTATTTAGGGACTAGCCTATTTGCTGGTGTTCCTTTCTCTGGGGTCATTTTCTGTTTCACTCAAATTGTCTCTTCTATTCTGAGGATCCCATCAATCAGGGGACAGTATAAAGCCTTTTCCACCTGTGGGTCCCACCTCTCTGTTGTCTGCTTATTCTATGGGACAGGTTTGGGTGTGTACATGAGTTCTGCAGTCAGTGACTCTTCAGTTAAGAATGCAGTGGCTTCAGTGAAGTACATTGTGGTCCCTCAAATGCTGAACCCCTTTATCTACAGCTCGAGGAACAAGGAAATGAAAGAATCCTTAAGACATCTAATCTCTGGTACACCTTCCTTACTGTGATTGTGTCAACTGTTCAAGTTTGAGTTTCTAGTATGAATTAAAATTGCACAAACAGTGATAAAGAGTAAATTGATTCTCCTATCAGTTTATTCTTTCAAAAAGGATTAGATAATACAAAGACTACATACATTTCAACACAGATTGCAAATCCGACTTTGATTTTTATTTTTGACCATTTTCAATCTCTTTAATCTTCTCCCCCTTACTCCATCCCTTCCCTTGATACCCTTCCCCATCTTGAAAGTTTTCCTTCTTGTTTCCTAGTACTTCTCTGTTATTTCATTTATTTATTAAATTATTTATATTTTTGACTTCTTGTAGAAGAGAAACCATGTCTGACTTACTTCATTAGCACTATGTTATCAAATTTCATCCATTTTCTTCCAAATGACCTAATCTCATTCCTCTTTATGGCAGAATAATGTTCATTTGTGTGTATATACTACATTTAAAAAATCTATTCATCCATTGCTGGGGCATCTAGGATATTTGTTATTGCGACATGTTTTTAATCTAATATGTATAGTAGCATAAATCAGAGGAGTAAAAACCCCAAGTTAATACTGGCTACAATATAGTCTTCTTCAAAAGAACACATATGAATATGGTAACATATATGTAAAAATGTGTAATACCATTAATTATAAGGAGAATTAATACTGCAATGTAAAGTCTAGTGCAATCAAATGTGTCCTAGCTACTCAGGAGACTTAAATAGGAGGATCTCTTAAGCCCATGAATACAAGGGTGACGTGAGAAACACAGTGAGACCCTCTCCTCTCCCCACCAAGAAATAGAACAAAATTACATTCTCTAGTGAGAATAGGCATAAGGAAAGAGATAAAAGATAATGAGTGCTGGCAAGAAAATGGAGGAAGGAACTCTCCTGCACTGTTAGTGAGAGCATAAATTCCTAGAAACATTATGGGGGATAGTATGGAGAGTCCTCAAACAAAACTAGAACTACTATACAAGTCCAACAATCCCAATTGTACTTGTCAACTTTCCTATTGCTGGATTAAAATATCTAAAACATATAATTTGAAGGAGGACAGGTTTATTTTGGCTCACAGTTTCAGTGGCTTCAGTCCATGGTTACTTGACTCCAGGATAGGAAGAGCATGTTGAAGGGGTCTGGTGAAGAAAAGGTGTTCACACCATGGTGGCCAGGAAACAAGAGAAAGAAGGGAAAAGCTGGGAATAGTGATATACCTTTCCAGGTGATACTTCCAGTGATCTCTGCCTTCCACTCAAAACATTATCTTTGAACATGGGAATTTTGGGGGACATTTTAGACTTAAATCATAATACCAAATACACATAATGAAGAGAAGGAAAATGCCTACCAAACCATATTTTCTGCTGCACTGTTAATAACAGTCAATGTTATATGCATAAAATATTATTAGTTGTGAAATATAAAATTCTGTCATTTATTAAATATTTTACAAATTTATATTTTATAAAATGTAAGTTTTATATATTTATTTAAAAATTCATTGTGCGGGTACATTTTAGGTATATATTCATCATTGGAAATTTGTACCTTTAAGTAATCTATCTTGGTTCTTATTTGTTCCCCATTCCCCTGCCCTCCTTTCAACCCTGCCACCCCTTCCTATTTACAAAGTCTTTGTTTCCATTTTTTCATATTAATTCCCTTCTTTCCTTTCCATTACCCTTCCCACTTTCCCTACACCCTTAGCCCTTTTATTCCTATTTCATGTTGTTAATTATCTCATTAGGATCTTGTGTACTATTATAGTTTTTCACACCAGAGAAACTATTCAGTATTTACACATGTGCGACTTATGTATTTCACTTAGGAGTATATCCTCAAAATGTATCCATTTTCCTATGAATGAATCTATTTTCTCATTTTTTATGGCTGAGTAATATTCCATTTTATAGAAAAAAAATCTTCTTTATCCAGTTTCCAACTGATAGGCAAATGGACTGTTTCCATGTTTTAGATATTACAAACTGTGCTGCTGCAAACATAGGTGCGCATATGTCACTGTGATATGATTCTTTTAATTCTTTTGGAAAGATACCCAGCAGAGCTATGGCTGGGTCAAATGGAACCTCTAGTCCAAGCTCTTTGAGGTATCTCTATATTGATTTCCATAGTGGTTGCACCAGTCTGCACTCCCACCAACAATGCAGAAGGG